TGTGTGTGTGTGTGTGTGTGTGTGTGTGTGTGTGTGTGTGTGTGTGTGTGTGTAAAAGAAAGGGAGTGTGGGTGGATAGAGACCATGGAAGTGAATATGAAAGCAGGAATTTGTAGCACCTCAGAGATAATCTGATTTGAGCATCATGCTTTGATTGATTGCTGTGCCAAAGTCGCCTTATTGCTCTATATTACAAGATCAGCCTGAGAACATCGCTTCCCAGAGGGTCCGACACTTTGCCCGCATCATTCACTGCCTCACCTGAAACAAGTTGTATTAGGACAATTTCTAACATGACTGAATCATGTGGCATCATATTTTTGTCTGTTGTTTTGTTATAGATTCAGTTGTCTCTTTTGATCTGTTTTTGATGCAGGTGACACTGCTGTCATTCTCGGTGGAATCAGAGTCGACTTTCCTCGATTACATCAAAGGAGGGTGAGTAGAGAGACAAACGTTCTTGCACAGGTGCTGTTCATGTGCTTTGAATCACACAGTACTGTGCATTGATGCTCTGAAAGTAGCAGGGTGGGTCACATGACTTCTATAGGTTATTTGTAAATGCACACAAACTGATTTTTTTCTGGTTTTTTTTTTTCATTAATTAATTAAGTTTTAGTCATTTTAGTATTTCAGCTTGAACTTATTTCATTTAGTTTCCAAGGCAAGTTTTTTTTTAATTTAATTTATATATTTTTTTCAGCTTTATTTTAATGAAACAAAATTATTTTTAATAATTTTAGTTTTAGTTAACAACAACAACACCGACAATGACAATGACAAATACAAATTCTTAAATTGGCACCACCGACTAAAAAAGAAAAGAAAAAGATGGACGACACATCTCCACTTCTTCCACTATAGAAAAGTGAAGCCAAAACATCCCAGTATGGCCAATGTCATCTTGTGAAAATGACGTCAGTTGGAGCCTGAGTCTGCACAGTAGTGATTCATTTGGAGCCCTAGTCTGGGCAGTAGTGATCATGAGGTGGAGCCGCGGTGTCAAAGTCCCACCCAAACTCCCGCAGACCCAATCGCAAACTCACAACATACATCAGTGTGATAAGAACTACCTAAAATGATGGAAACCATCTTTGGGAAAAATTTATTTGAAGTGTAATAAAAAATGTTACATTTGGCTCAGGTCCCATTCACTTACATGAAGAAGGCGGGTTTTATGTCCTATAATGCAGCTAGCCACTAGATGGCGATCAAAATGTTTTGGCTTCACTTTTCAGAAAGCTTAACTCTCTTGCCGCCATTTATGGAATTTTCCGGCTGTCTGTGTTTTAACAGTCAAATGGTAGGGGGCGCTATAACGCATCTTCTGAAAGAGTACAGAATCTCCAGATCAAAACAGATGAAGCAGAAGCAGAAACAAGTGATCACATAAGCAAATGCATATGTAAAACAACACTATCGTCAAACATTAAACAGCATTTAAATCAAAACTGCCTGACGTTACCAATGAAATGTCGACCCAGGAAGTGGTATTCAGTGCAAGCATTGGGGGTGTTGATGGAAGCGATCCCCAAAACATCAGGAGACGGCCTGCAGGTTCATGCTCACATGGAGACAACACAATAAAATGTGGAGAAAACAGCAGCGTGCGTGGGCGCATTTGTGTGCGCATGTGTATTCATGGAGCTGCAACATTGTGTTTCAGAGCGCACACAGCATGTGGGATTGTTTAGTGGTCTGACAGACCGTAAATTGATTAAGTCCTCGTCTAAATGAAAACAGGAAATCGCCACTTAGAAGAAGAACTCTCTTCATTATTGACAAATATTTCTCCCTAAGTGACTGAGTTGGGAACAACAATAGGGATGATGGGTAGAAGACGGAGAGAACTGGAAAACATCAGACCCGAGCTGCTCCAGTTTGGTATTAGATCAGCCATGAAGAGAGCCAATCAAATCTAAGACCTCGCCAAAATTTGATGAAATGATCAGACAGCACTGTGACCACTGAGAGAAATCAATTATGGCTCAGATAACATATTCTGCACAGTGCAAAAAAAAAAAGGTTTTCCAGTAAAAACACTTAATTTTCTTAAAATTATGTTTTGGTAATGTAAAATGATATACATTATTTAAAAAAGTATACACTACTCTTTTCTATTGGTCAAAAATACAGTAAAAACAGAAACATTGTGAAATATTATTACAATTTAAAACAGCTGTTTTGTGTTTTTTAAATATTTTATAATTTTTCACTGAATTTTCAGGGTCTTCAGTGACACCACGATCCTTCATAAATCATTATAATATGCTGATTTGTTGCTAAAGAAAGATGAATTATATTGAAACATTTATTATTTGAAAACAGTTGTACTGTTCAACTCAGGCTTATGTTTGGCTTATTTCTGCAAAATAATATTGCACTGCTTCTTGCACATTTTAGGACACTTTTCGAGAAATGTCCATTGATTGGCACTAAAAGTGTGTTCCGTTTCATGAACATTCAGATTAATGTGAATCTAGAAATATTTTATAGCGTTGGTTGTTGTACATATCGCAACAGTTTGGAAATAATTTACTCAAGTTACTAAGTTGTTCCAAACCTGTATTAATGTATCTTCACTGAATAAAAGTGTTAATTTAAAGTTTTAAGCTTAAAACAAGAGAAAACAATTTGCCAGTGAGTTAAGAAAAATACATTTAAGTCGCATTTTTTTGTAAACTAACCTTAAAATCTCATGCAGTTATGCTTCTCATGTATATGTATCATGTTTAGAATGTCATGATGTTTTTTTTTACTAGAAAACAGATACAGACACAAATACCAATTGATGTATGGATGGATGGATGGATTTATTTATTTAGCATGTAGCCAAGCAAAAAGTAAAAAAAAACAAAAAAACAAAAAAAGCAGTAACCTATTAATCATGCAACAGTTGAGGATCTTTTGGCCCTTGCCAATGAAGAGCATATCTGCTATGCTGAACTCCGCATTCATTGCTGTGAGTGTGTGTACTGATTAAGCACTGACCTTTACCTGCATGGAAGTGCTCATGGCTAAGTGGCAGATAACCTGTTATAATGTGCTCCAAGCCTCCGGCCAGCCTGTGCATCCCACGCAGGACCAGTTTTGACATTTCTATTAAGGCAGATGAGATTGTGCTGGCCAGGGTAAGTGTCTGTTGTGCAGAAAAAGAGTAAAAGAAGAAGTGGTGAATTTGAAGTGATCAACATGTCACATTGCCGCATATATGTGACTGCATGTGGTGGCATTTTAATGATTTCCATATATATCAGACAGCGCCATCATTAGTGGGGAGGAAGGTGGTGATGATTCTATGGACCCCAGACTGTCGGGGGCCCACGGTGACTATGCTACAAAAGTAGCGTAACATTTGTGTGACTGCTTTTGGAAACCATTAATGATGTCACTGGGTCATAATGGATCATAATGGATCATGCTACATAAAGACAGCATTATCTGTGCTGTGCTGTCCATTCCATTAGATATAGGTGGGTTTTCTGTCACTATGCAGGGCTTCCCTGCCTCCCACAGCACTGCAGAGAGCCCTGCAGCTGACAAGTGAGAGGGAGACACATAGTGACATGCGTGTCTGCAAAAATCGATTCCTCTTGTCCTTCTGTTTATCCCATCCTAGGAGATGTCTGTTGTACTATAGTAACCCCTAATGCAGGGGATCCTTTTTTACAGCCTATTAAGTTTCTGGGCCATGGAAATGCCCTAGTGCCACAGGCTGAAACGGCTGGCAGAACAACAGCACTGCTGAAAGTAGATCAGGATTTGCTCTAATTTGGAATGGCACATTCTTGAATAGACAAGAGAAAACCAAAATGAGTATTCCTCAGTTTCATTTTCCTCCTCATAAATGTATAATTAAACAGTAATAATACAAGATAAACGTGATAGCGTGCTCCTCGGGAATAGCTGTAGTTTAGAAGGTTTTATTTTCCACAGCTTTGGTCACCTACATTCCCAAAATGAGAGAATTGTTTTTTTTGATGTGGAGATGCATACACTGGGACCCGAGAGAAAATGGCTTTTATTGAATTAATAAAGAGGATAATTACTCTCTGGGCTACATAGGGGCATGAGTCATGTATTAGCATGGGATTCTAAAGGTTAATGTAATTTTCTCTACTTTTCATTATGGTTTTATCGATTTTATTTTTCTTGTAACCCACTGTATCCCTGATGGGCTGCTGTGTTTGACTTTTTGGGGAGAGGATTTGAATGCTGTCTTTTGCTGTCGGTGACACGTTTTTATCCTGAAAATTAAATTCTTGTTTTTTTTAAAGTGCTCCATCATTTTAATTGCTTTGCTTTATTTGTATCTGTTTTATGCTAATGTTGTGGTATGTTAATTTACAATAGGGTAGATTTGACAATAATAGCTTCTGTATGGTCAGTCGGACATGTATTTATTAAATGATAAACCTTTAAAGACTAACATATTAGCCTCGACTAATTAGCATCGCTTAAACTCTTAAAAACTGCATCTTCTGCCAGAAAGCATGTCATCCTTTAAGGTGCCTGTGGGATTAATTTAACGGGTATCGCTAACATGCTGCACAATGTGGTTTTGTGGCCGATGGGAAACCAGAGCATTAGGAAACGCTGTGTGAAGGGATACGCTAAAGGCAGGAATGCAGA